GCCCAAAATGTAATGACGTAATTTTTTCTCCTTTTGAAAGGCCAAAAGTATGACGAATTGTCAAATGTCAGCCCAGCCTTTATTTATCCTCAGTGACCAGATGGATCAACAAACGTCTATCAAATACCTTGGCGTTGTTTTCAACCATAACCTCACCTGGTCTGACCACGTCAATAACGTTTTTTTTGAAGGTCAGGAGACTCATATTTTATGTTTCCCCTCTTTAATCACTTTATACCCAAGTCATCTCATAAGGCATTTTGTTTTTGCTTGCATTTTGCCCCACTGGCTTTATGTGTCCCTGTTATCTTCCCCGGTCTTTTTAACAAGGACCTCAAACGCATTTACCGATCCCTCAAGTTTCTATCGGTATGTAGTCTTATACCACGGGAACATCTGGTACAGCATGCGGTGGTACACCACCTCAAGTCCTGTAAAACATTCTCAAAAATGATTTTATCTGGTATTTTCCATTCCTATTATTCCGGTCTTAGCTAATGTCTTTCTTACTCGTCCACTCGTTCCAGTCATAAACGTATAAAGGTACGCATTGAAGCCTACAAGCGCTCCATCGTCCATCTCGCCAGATTTCTTACAAACCATGAACTCGTCGCAGATCTGCGGAAAATGTTGAACTAAAGTAATCATAGACACCCCGATATGATATTTTGCTGTCCGTTTCAATCCTTTTAATTACTGTATTAAATTTCGATATTTTTTAATTTTTGACACCCTGCGGTTTTGTGGTTGCTGAATATCCACTCTTCCAGATGTATAAAATGATTCCTTGATGTGAGTTTTGAATAACGCGGAATCAGATGGAAATCGTTTTGAGTTTTGGATGAATTNTGAATTACTGGTCATGTGTTGGCAACATACCCCGTTAGCTCCAACAGAACGCACAGTGAATCACGTTCAAGGCACGAGTATTGTAAAATTACTTTCGTAAGTAGATATTTCTTCACCAATCACGTTAGCATTACTATCATGAGGAGTAGTGGATTTACGTTTTTATTGCCCCTACAATTTGACTTTCGTATTTCTTGCACCACAAGGTTTCTGTTAGCTGAAATGTACATATTCAGATCAAACAGTTGAAAAACCAACAAAACTCTGACCACGATTTGCGTATTGACAGATTGTAATATTCTCATTGACATAAAAGCTTTCTGAAAACTTGCCGTCCTCGGGAGTGAACTGAACCGCCCCCCCCTCCACACACACACACACACCATAAGTGCCGAGGCCACTCCTGCACCACTCATAGGTCCCGGCAACTTGTATATTATTTATTCCAAAGATTGATTATGAGAATAACAAAACATAAAAAGCCAAACCAATTTGGCCTGAGATACTGATATTGCACTGCGCTAAACAAGATTGTGAAATGCAGCACAAGCTATTTTATTCGGTATGCATAACGCGTAAAAATGTGCAATGCAGTTCAAATTGTGAATCAGCCTTTTTGAGGATGCCAAAATTCTAGTCATCGCTGTTGAATGCAATAGGATTAAACCTGACATTCGAAACGTACCGTTGGATTCCACAGACCTGGTGCTGGAAATAAAACCCCGTTATTTTTGATATTTGAGTTCCTACTATTCAAATACTTATAATAGATTATTTGTCGTACAAATTCACAATCTCAGTGGTATTGATCCACGGTGGAAAAAGTCAGCCCGTAAAATCAAACGGAATTCTGCATCCACTGAGTAGGACTTTCATCACTTTTTTATGTTGGTCACATCTTCAAAAAGATTGAAAAATGCTGAAGTAAGACTGAGTTAAATACGCAGTGCTATGGTTTGGAATAGTTCTCGTATTTTCTGGCAGATAGCACTCACATTAACAGATTGGTCCCAAAATTTAAGGGATGCTTGAGTAGCTGTATGCAGTGGCTGAACAATTTTTTATAGGAAGGATATATGTGACAAATTTGTCTGCCAATGGATGTATTCGTTGAATCGCAATAATTTTTGCGTCTAGTAACTATAATCAACGTTCTCGTTGACCTAAAAAAGAATTTGAGTTTGACATATCAGAGTGCCGTCTAACGTGGCGACTCACAATGAAGATGCCATCTAAAACTGTTTGATTTGTGCACTATCACAAAACTTATATCAACGAAATGAGATCCATTGATCAATGCATTGCACAGCACAAAATAAAGTGTCACATGTTTCTCACACCTTGTCTTTTTCATTAAACACCCCAATAATATTTTCATCAGTAGAAGGGAAACCGTTAAGTGTCACAGCATTGACCTCTGATGATCACTTGGGGGTTGAATCGCGGGGAAAGAGCAAAGCTATGGGCGACCGATGAAGTGTAGGCACTTATTGAGTAATTCTGAGCCCTTCTGTTAATAAGTGACACGTTTATTGCACATAGGGAGATCTAAACCCTTTTTCTCACTATCTCGCTCAAAACCAGGACGCAGGTAAGAGCAAATAAGAGGGAGAACGAAAGAGATAACCGATATCGTGCCTTGCAATGTGTAACAAAATCAGGGAGATACTCGGGGAAACCGAATGGTGATTTCAGAATCTTTGGTTGTACTAAATTATAAAATTTCTTTGGAGAAACATATTGCATTGTGACAAGCCTCTCTATATCCAAGGAGAGTTCACACAAACAAAGGTAGATCCTACTCTTCATTGCGATGTTTCCTACCCTCCACGATAAGCCGTACGCTTTAGAGATAGACAGATATCTATAAAATGCAAACAGAATTTGTATCATAGTAACCACCTAGCTTTCAGTGCTTAGGGAAAGCCAGTAACCCTTGATTATAGTGTTTATTGGACTCCTTGTTTCACAGAGATTTAACTTCTTTGTTAGTTACAGAAACGGAAGCATCGTCCATGAGAGAATAAATACCAGACGGGAGCGTTGTTTACGAGACCTCATTCGATTAGCTTCTTCTGAAAGGGGCATCTGAGATTTTGTTGTTCATTTGAGGTCACTTCTAACTTAGGAATTATGATCGGGCCACAATCTGTGACTAACTAATCTGTTTGTCCGAAAGTCTCAACTAATGTTGTTGATCGGGTGGCATCACTTTTCCTTTCATGTTTGATTGCTTCGTGGACGAAACATTATGGACGCTTCAACTTAATCCCCAACTGTCAATATTGAGTGAACAACTGGAAGATTATTTTTTGTAGACTTACTTTGGAGCTGTTCAGTTATCAGTTATCAGCAGCGTCAATAAAATGCATACCTAAAAAAGATATTTCCGTTCATTCTTCAGATCACTGGCAATATGCAGCGCCATATAACTTGCATCTGCTAGCTGCTATGTAGATACGTTTAATATGGACACAGTTTCTGTCTAAAAGAAATACTGAATCCCCTAAAGAGATGTAGTCTTTTTGACGGATCTTGCACAGACGAGTCTCATTGTCATCGTTTGTAGTGATTTTTAACTCGAAATGTTTGTCAGCCTGTTGCAAATATTGATATAAGTTTGTAAAAAGTACATCGGTTAGGCCCACTCATTGAATATGTCTCACTTCATTTTTATGAACTGATCTCATATGACCAATGGGATCACTGGTAGATCGCGGATGGAGCATAACTTGCACAAATTGACGGCGTGAGTTAAAACCAAACGAGCGAGGTTGCGGACATGCACCAACTAGGTTTGTCCAGGCAGTGGTACATATTTTGGCGTATTAGTATGAATTAGAATCAATGTAAACGATTTTGTTTAACAAACTGTGGTTCTGTTTGAAATATGCTCTGCGGGAGCTTTCAAGCACTGTGTTGTTCTTTATTTACACATTTTTACACATTTTAACCATAAATTTATCATGCTGAAATATTTTAACTACTAATCAGTAGCATACTTGTTACTCCAAAAGGACTTTATGAGCTGCTCTGTGTAACGTCCAAGGGTCCATCATTACCACACGTTTCACCACTTGAATGAGACAAAAGCATTTTTCACTGGGCTTAATACATGTCGTTGTTACTTTTAAATGATCGACTCATACTAAAGTGACGCACTCACGAAAGGAATCGATTATTCATCGGCATCCATTCCACCTAATATCGTTACCAGTATCATAACCTATTGCTATTTTTTAATAAGGTCCAAAGATACGATAAACAGTAGAAACGACCTGCTGTTCAATCATGGAAACGTATTTCCGGGACCTGGGAGTTTCCAAACGCTTAAGTTTCAAACAGAATATACCTCGTAGTGATCCAATGATAACATCGTTGCCCGCTCCTCCCGCACCCGAGGTGGGGTATTTATGATGATCCTAGCCTACCAGATGACACATATCACGGAGCGGTACGTTACAATTTTCGGACAACTGTAATGAATCAATTTCCCAGGGGACGTCAGCAAAGTGTCTACGTGTCACAGCTTCTGGACTAAGAACTATAGACCGATTGTACCGACCGATCAGAAGCCGTGTGGCCCAGACAGAAGCTGCACAATGCCAGAAATACTAGCACGCGATTGGCAGATGCTTGGATGACCAATGAACTTGTTTTGCACATATTGACTAAACCCTTATTTCTTTCAACAAACGAACTGCTATTCCTGTGGCATATTCCTCGCGTTTCGGTTACGTGGGATACTGTCGTACTAGTACCAGCGAGATCCAGTATTTACGTGGCGTGCGTGATTTCTAATTCGTGATTCGAATTTCGTGATNTGTCTAACTGAAGAGATATAGGCGTAGTTTACGGCCTACCGAGTTCCCAATTTTCTAGTAGTGGCAGTGCACGGATCACTTTTTTAACTTACACACTTACTTTGTCACGCTCAAGTTTGCTTGGAGATCACCTTTAATCTTCTGGTTTATCTATCCAAACATCTGGCTACACGCAAACCACGATGAATTCCC